TCTCATAGACGCGTTCAATTTCGTTTTTCGAACCCATTACGGTCGTCAATTTCGGTTCCAAAGTTCTCATCTCAACAGATATTCTTCTAATTCAAACAGATATTCTTCAATTAATTCGCATAAACACATAATTAATTACTGATAAATATGACACATGTTTTGGGGTCATTACAGGTATATCACAATACCAACCAGCAAATACATTGCTAAACCAAATGCGAATACATCACTAATAACAACAAATACATTGCTAAAACTGTTTGGAAACATCCTTTTCAAAACCAAAACGATAATAAGTAAAATGGATAAATCTCCAGAGCTAGTGTTCATAATAGCAACTTTACAAGTCACTATGCCATTTTTTCGAGATTATCCAGATGGAATCGGCACCTACCGCGCGGGTTTTAGGTCTTTCACCATGGACACATAGGCCAACTTAATTCTACTTTAACACCCTCTTACAACTTTACCACTTTATTTACCCTTTTCACTTACACAGTAAATGTTTTCCAAAATAACATTTTCAAATCAATCAAAATGTTTTCAAAACACAATATGACAATTCTTAAAAATAACTTTTCCAAAACTTACAGTTTTGAGTTCCAAAATCTATGGCATACATCGTGACATGTATGATTTCACAATTATTCAAGTTTACTTAGTCTACATACAATTTCTAACACACGGCAATGATATCCTCTATCGATAGCCAAAACAGTTATCTCTAATGCAATAATTAAAAGATAACAATACATATATATAATCCACTAATTTCAAAACCCGTATATTTCTCAACACCCAAGATTTCCCAAAAGAGTAATAATACTCATTGTTTTCAAAATTTCCTAACTATTCCCTTTCTATCCCTTTCCAACTAAACCATTTTCCAAAATCAACACAACTCCCCAAAACAATATCATTTAGGGTTTTTCACAAATTGAGGCTTTTCTACCTTTGGAAATCCATATGCAATTTTGTATACCAAAAATAGATTTGATAGCAAAATCATAACCAAACAACCCTTAACTTGGATAAACCGTCAACCCACAAACATAATTTCAAAACCAACCCAAATAACCACAAAATCTATATTTCCAAAACACACCACGAATACATTACTGAACTCACATCGAGTTTAAAAAATAGACCCTACCTCTTGAAGCGAAGAGGAAACAAGCCAAAAAAAATTGCCAGAGACAAAAAGACGATCTGCTCAGATTAAAATGAATCCCTCACTGAACTCTACATTTTGGTATATGGTACTAGGGGGTAGAAAGTGGGTAAAAATAGATGAAACCCAAGCTTGAAATCTTAAAAAGGTTAAAAAGGATGGAGGGAGAGAGAGACAAAGGAGATAGGATCAAGAAAATAGATATTTTTAGTTTTTGGCGCCTTATAAAGACAGACAGACCGCGGTTGCGAAGGCCATACCATGGTCGCGATTAGGCCACCCAACATGGTAGCGGGCGTGACCATAGGACTATGAGCGTGGTTATGCATGCCGCGACCTACACCACAGGCAATCCCCTCAACCCAGGCCAAATGACCTAAGAGCCACTATTGGTCGCGGCCCCCTTACAGGCGTGACCTCCAGAACCACCCATCACGGGGGCAACCACTGTGGTCGTAAGCGCGACTGACCAAGCCCAGCAACTCTAGGCCGCTGCCCAGCAGCCAACCCGAGGCACTCCTAAGGCCCAAATTGCTCTGAAAGGCCCACGTCACTCTGGACAAGCCTGTGTCCCACCAAAAACGAAAACGGATCGGGTTAAACTGACCTGGGCCACTATTGAATAGAAATAATTGTTTTGGTAACCAGTGGAGGGTTGTATTGATCATTATAGAACTTACATCTGAGCTAGGTCAATCGAAACACTCACAAACTCATGCATGGTATTAATCATTTCATGTTTTATGATTTTGCTATCGTGTTATATTTGAGAAATTGCTTTTGAGATCGTTTATTAGAAATGATTGAAATGTGTTGAGTAAATGGCGAAAACAACTTGGTGAATCTGGTTAAGGGGTGTAGATGGTTGTGAATTAAGTTTGTTTAGGTACACGCGAAGTAAGTCTCAAATTCCTTCTAGTTAAGAGCCGGAAAAGTAGTTGTGGTAGTACTTTGAAAGTATTTACAGACAACAACCTAAGGATAGTGTCGTATTTATTGCCTCTTTGTTTATCAAATGAATAATTGATCTGGATTTGATTTCGAGCATGTGCATGGCATGAGATTTTGAAAAGAAACTTATATTTTGGCATGTCATTTCATATGCATTCACCTTCTGATATTGTTAAGTTTTATGCACTTTATTTAGATTATCTCTGCTGGGCTTTATACTCATCCCTGTGTGAAAATAACTTTCCAGGTGTTGACAGTGTGCTTCTTTCAAGGTGAAGACTTGGGAGGATTTTTTGAGCGAAAAGCTCGTTGTGTTTATTTTATTTGTATAACCAATGGCTTATTTTGTATTGAGTTTTTAATTCCCACTTTTGATTGTAACTGGGTAAGGCCTTGGAAATTATAGCCAATAGAGCATAACTTGTATTTATTTAGTTCTTGTTTTGGAAATCACATACTATAAATTCAATTATTAGGCATATAAATGTGTAATTGCATGTGATCCACTTTTGTAATTCTCATATGAAATTCATGAACGATGTATGAGGTTTAGTATTAATGTTAATTAATGAATTATCAAGAAAATCTATTGCTTTCACTTGTTGGTTATGGTAATATTGGAGGTTGAATAATGAATATAAGTCAATCCTGACGAATCAGGTTTCATTACTTTGAGGCGTCACAGGGATTTGACCTTATGCATTCAAGAACATTAACTCAAATTTAGATATAATAGTTTACTTACTTCAAAGATGAGTAAAATAGTTTTATCTAAATGGGTTTGAAATAACTATGTAAAAATAAATATTTGAAATTATACTAAGGTTCCTTTTATATAGTGACAAGAATACTATTACAATATATCTTTTATCTCAACTGATCTTCATTATTTTTTTATTCATTTAATCTTAAATTACTTGATTTGAAATTCACACCTTTCCAAATGACTGTACTTGTTGTAATAGAAGATGAAGAGATAATCGAAATTCGAACAAAAGGTTCTATTTGTTTGGCTTTCAAAATCTGTTCTCTAAATTTTTTGAAAAAATTAAAAGATTTAGTGAAAAAAATAATAAATAAAAAACACTCATAATTTTCATATGATTTACTTTTTTTTTTGGAGGGGATAATAAATTTAAAAAAATTAAATATATTTTTAGCGTTTATTTTTGTCAAATTAACTTTTATTTTTTTCAATTTTTTTCCTGAAATTAGAATCAATAAGAGTAAATTACACGATTTTCCTTTAGGTTTGTAGAATACAATAAGGTCCATAAGTTTGACATAATTACGCTGGACTTTCTTAAGGGTTTTAATTCATATAATACTTTCTTATTTTCATAAAAAATTCGTTAGTCATACGAATAAAAAAAATAATATTGTAAAATATCTTTTATATTGAAATATATATTTTACCTTGTGTATTTTTGTGTCTTCATACATATTATATGCATTATTATTGGTCTCTTTAATCTTACTAAAAGGGATATTAGTGTAATTATATTAAAATTATAGAATTTATAGTATTTTCTTTAAAACTCATGGGAATTGAGTGTAATATACCGAATGAGTGATACATATAACAATGTCAATGTGTGATTCCATTTGCACCGAAATAGTAATTCAGTACACCCAACCAAAATTTTAGTTCATATTATACCATAATGTAAATTTATTAATAAGGACAATATATGTTAAATTTTAAAATAAAAAATATTTTTTTTCTCATGGTACATTCTAATCAATTTCACGTATTCTTTATATTCAAGTTTCTTCACCTTCTTCCCAAAGTTTCAATTATTTTCACTTCATCTTATTCCTCACTCTAAAACTCCAATCCACCCCACTAAATTTCATAATTATCACCAATGTCATTGTTTCTTATTGTGTTATTTGTAAATAAAAGAAAATTTAAACAAAATCAAACAATGAATGAGAATAATAATCAAAAATATTTTTTGAAATAATCCATCAAAGATGAGATAAGTGTTCACATAAATATCAAAAATAATTCTTGATTTTTGTATTTTTTTTTTTACGTAAAAACACATTTTGCTTATTTTACATCAACATTGTTCGACATTTCAGAGCCGAACAAATTGCGCATGTTTTTGTTCAGTATCGCCAAACAAAGGCAATATGTTCGGCATATTAAGGCCGAACGACTTTAGCGAAGATCATAAATTGAAATCAACAATTGTAGTTTTGAAAAGTTGACAACCACTATCTCAAACAATGAAAAATGTAATCAACAAAAAAAAAAAAATAACAATAATAAAAAATGAGGAATTTATTTAGTTATGGAGATGAAACAATGTCCTTCTTTTTCAATATTTGCCAATGACGAGAGTTAGGAAGAGAAAAAAAGAAGAGAATACCGTAGATGAGAAAAGAAGAAGAGATGAGGGGGTTTTCTTTGAATTGATTTGTTTGTTATTTAAGTGTATCACAAATTATGATTTTACCTTGAAAAATAATTTGTGAAAAAAAAAAGAATGTATTGAGAATAAATTATAACTCTAAATAATTTAATAGCAAATTCAGCATACTAAATAATTTTGTAAGTATATCAAATGAAGCCCTAGGCCTAACCATGACTGAATCCAAGCCCAGTTCAACCCAGCCCATATCATCAAGCCACAATGAGATCCATATTCATTTGGTGGTATGGTCCAAAGACCAGAAGAGGTAGTCCACAATAAGATCCTTCTAGAAGCGGCAGCAGAGTATGTCTCTAGACACCTCTGGGAGCAACCTGGTTGAACAAAAGCGCACGCACTCTTAATCCAACCCACACTATAAATTACCACATCTTTCGCCTCTCGTCAGAATAAAAATTCTCTACTGCTACTCCTCGACGACCTCAAGAAGTGTTCAGAAAATTCCACACACAGGCACAGCCTTCTCTCGACCCTCAGGTACGATCTCTGTCTCTCTCTCCGCCAAACCCTAGCTCTCTCTCTCTCTCTCTAGAATTCTCAGATCTCTGGTTTCGTATCTTTCTCTAGATTCAATTACTCTTACGCGATTTATGTGAAGAAGTTCGTTGTCCTTTTTTGGTTGGAATTGTTAATCATTGGTGCTGTAAAAGATATGTTTTTTAAATGACATCGATGAAACAATTATTTGCTTTAACAAACTGTATTATTATGTTTTTGAAATATACGTGGAGGTGTTATCATATAGAATCATTTGGAAATAAAAAAGCCCAAGTAATGATCGAATGGGGGAATTACAGCAATTACTATGTGCTATATATGTTGGAATACATATTTGTTGTGATTGCCTAACATTTTTAGAACCAAGTGAGAAGAAAATTAAGTTTCTAAGAGTTTATTACTCATTCATTTGAGTTTGATTTTGATTGCCTAAGTTTTCCATGTGATTCATTTATTGGGGTTAAGCCTGATTAATAGTTACTATAATAATTCCATATAGGAGTACTTGTTTTTGTGCTAATTTTTTGCAACTGAGTACACATTAAATGGGGTTTTTTTACTTGTTGTTGTGATTGCTAGTTTTCCATGTGATTCATTTATTGGGGTTAAGCCTGATTAATGGCTTTTTTTTTATTTTTTACTTTTGATGGAATTGAATTAAATGGGGTTTTATTTGGTTTTTTTTAGGCCGTTGTCTAAAAAAAATCAGCACATAGGAGTACTTGTTTTTGTGCTAATTTTTTCCAACTTTGTATTAATGGCTTTTTTTATTTTTTACTTTTGATGGAATTGAATTAAATGGGGTTTTATTTGGTTTTTTTTAGGCCGTTGTCTATTCGGGGATAGAGTGATTGTGTGCGCCAAAGTGAATCTTGTTGTTTGAAAATGAGCGTGGTTGGTTTTGATTTTGGGAACGAGAGCTGTGTTGTTGCCGTTGCAAGGCAAAGAGGAATTGATGTTGTACTCAATGACGAATCAAAGCGCGAGACTCCCGCTATTGTATGTTTTGGTGAAAGACAGCGCTTCCTTGGAACTGCTGGGGCTGCGTCAAGTATGATGAATCCAAAGAATACAATTTCTCAGATAAAGCGTCTGATTGGGCGGCAGTTTTCTGATCCTGAGCTACAACAAGATCTCGAGGCAATGCCCTTTGCCGTGACTGAAGGCCCTGATGGATACCCATTGATTCATGCGCAGTATTTGGGAGATACAAGGTCATTTACACCTACCCAACTATTAGCAATGGTGTTCTCAAATATGAAGACTATAGCGGAGAAGAATTTGAATGCTGCAGTTGTGGATTGTTGTATTGGGATACCTGTTTATTTCACTGACCTTCAAAGAAGAGCTGTTTTAGATGCAGCTACTATCGCAGGTTTGCACCCTCTCCGATTACTTCATGAGACCACTGCAACTGCTTTGGCATTTGGAATTTATAAGACAGATTTACCCGAGAATGACCAACTAAATGTTGCATTTGTTGACGTTGGTCATGCTAGTTTGCAAGTTTGTATAGCTGGCTTCAAGAAAGGCCAGCTGAAGATATTGGCCCATTCATTCGATCGATCTTTAGGTGGCAGAGATTTTGATGAAGTTCTATTCCAGTACTTTGCTGCAAAGTTCAAGGAAGAGTACAAGATTGATGTATACCAGAATGCTAGGGCCTGCCTCAGGCTTCGTGCTGCTTGTGAAAAACTGAAGAAAGTTCTTAGTGCAAACCCAGAGGCACCTTTGAATATAGAGTGCTTGATGGATGAAAAGGATGTTAGGGGTTTCATCAAGAGAGAAGAGTTTGAAAAAATTAGTATTCCGATTTTGGAACGCGTGAGGAAGCCGTTGGAGAAGGCTCTTTCAGATGCTGGACTGACTGTTGAGAATATTCATGCTGTTGAGGTTGTTGGTTCCGGCTCTCGGGTTCCTGCCATAATTAAGATATTGACAGAGTTCTTTGGCAAGGAGCCTAGGCGAACTATGAATGCGAGTGAATGTGTTGCCAAAGGCTGTGCTTTAGAGTGTGCAATCCTCAGTCCCACATTTAAAGTGCGGGAATTCCAGGTAAAGATGCTTCTCACTGATTATATTGGGTTATATTTTTGTTTGTCTGTTTCCACTCATCTAAATATAAAAATAATTTCATGATTTCATCATGATTCTCTACCACATAAAGGAAGATGTCTCTTAAAATTACTACTGGATGTGTTTCAAGTTAATCAAGCATGCCTCCTACAAATTTCAGATGCTATACAGCAATTAAGACAAAAGACCCTTCGGAGTCCAGAGATAAGGTTAACCAAACTATTCAATAATTTAATACACAAGACATGCTATTTAAAATAGTACAACTTTTAGTGCGTACTAATGCCAAGGCATGAACCTTTTAACGAACTAACAAACAAACAAAGACCTGGTTTGAAGTACATGACATTTATTCTTCAAAGCTTGCCATTCCGCATTCTTTATCATCAAGTTTGAGATCCAAGTTATTTACTTGTTTTTAATCGAATGAACCATTTGATTTCTTTTATTTTCTATCCTTTTTTTCTTAATGGAAATATATGACCTCTCTTTAAAACTTATAAAAGGAACTTTGTCATATCATGCATATTTAGTTTGTTGCATATGCAGTTTATTCCTTCTTGTTCTTGTTGTATATTTTGGTATAGGTGAAGGGAAGTTACTCATAATCAACTGTCATTCCTTTTTTAGTTACTTTTTATAGATTGAATTGAACTGGATGTGCAATGGCATTGTTCAATAGAAATTAATTTGTTTTGTTTTTGTGTTTGTGGGATTTAAGGTCAATGAGAGTTTTCCATTCCCCATTGATTTGTCATGGAAAGGCGCTGCTCCAGATACTCAGAATGGAGTTGCAGATAATCAACAAAGCCCTCTTGTTTTCCCCAAGGGGAATCCAATACCTAGCATTAAGGCTTTGACATTGTACAGATCAGAAACATTCACAATAGATGTTCAATATGCTGATGTCAGTGAATTACAGGCACCAGCTAAGATTAGCACATATACGGTAATGGATCCACCTAGGGTGCTTGTCGATTTTAGACTTCCAGTTCTGTGATTTGCCGAGTTTTGGACTTTATGGTTTCTTGAAACAATATCCTTGAAATAAATGTTTATGCTTGTGTACAGATTGGTCCTTTTCAATCCACTAAGGGTGAACGGGCAAAAGTGAGGGTGAAAGTTCGCCTAAATCTGCACGGCATTGTATCAATTGATTCAGCAACAGTAAGTCATAATGCTAGTTTAATTGATTCTTGGGGCGGATTAATAGATCATTATTAACCTTTTAATGATTTGATATTTTGTCCAGCTTTTGGAAGAGGAGGAAGTTGAGGTTCCAGTTGTTAAAGAGCCAGCAAAAGAAGCTAATAAGATGGAAACAGATGAAGCTCCAAGTGACACTGCTCCATCAGCTTTGACTGAAAGTGATGTCAATATGCAAGATGCTAAAGGTGATACCGATGTTCCTGGGGCTGAGAATGGTATCCCAGAGTCAGGAGAGAAGCCTGTACAAATGGAAACAGATGCCAAGGTCAGTTCTAAACTTTCTCATAGTGAGTCATCATTCACATGAGTGTGCAGGCACACATGTTAATTTTGTTGTTTATTCTTTTAAGCTTCTATTTATTATTTTAATAATAGAGAACTTTATCATTTTAATAATAGAGAATATAATTCAACCATTTTTATTAGGAAAGGCTTCTAATAATCTTAAGCAACATAGACACTTCTAAGAAGGTGGCGTGTTGTGTTCGACATTATTTGAAATGACACAACACTTGATGGACTCTTCCCAACACCTATTGAACATGTGTTCAAAATGACTGTTTTTAAAAAAAAATTGGGCTCGGACGTGCTTTACACACTTGGAGAACACACATCTATTGCTTAAACACACATCAAACACATTACAAGTTTGAATAAAATGATGAGGAAACCAATGATAAAAGAAAAACAATATAAATTTGTACTAATGCTATTCTTTTAGATTTTAAAAATTATTGTATTTGAATTAAATATTTTTACATGATATCTAAGAAGTATGGATACAGACACGTGACGCGACACAAATACGACAAGGACACGCCGACATGCTAATTTTAAAAAAATGCCGGACACGACACATGAGGGATACACATGAAATATATAATTTTATATATTTATTCTATGTTATATATATGAATATATTATTTAAAGATAATAAAAAAATGCAATATGCTATGAAGCAGGGACACGGCTACGAATACGGACACGGACACAGGACACGGCAATTTTCAAGAAATGGGGATATGGACATGGCGGGGGACACGACAAATTTTATTTTATTTATTTTTATATATTTTTTTGTGTTATGTAGATTCATATTACATTTATCCTAAATCAAAATTAATAAACACTAACATAATAACATTAATTCAATAAATATAATTACTACGTTTAAACAAATTAATAGATCATCCATTCACAAAAAAAGTCATAATAAACGATAACAAAAGTTAAGACGAGAAGGGGAAAGCATTCAACATCTAATAATATTCTTCACAAAAGCACTAAATAAGAGAGGCAAAAGAAAAAAAAAAAGAAAAAGAAAAAAATTAGCCCCGCCATGTCCCCGTCATGTCCCATATGGACACGCATGTACCCACCATGTCCCTTACAAAAAAATCATTAAATTACAGATGGCGTGTCCCGTACATGTACCCGGCGTGTTCTCGTGTCGGACACCGCCATGGCACTGATTTTGGAGTGTTCACACTTCATAGGTAATATGACATTAATCCCTATAAATTTATATAGTTTTGTTTTATTATCGTACCTTAAGTTGTTTTATTCATACTTATAATTAGTTTTACATGTGTTTAATCGATAGACACGTGTGTTTAAAAGATACACACGTGTGTCCTCCAAGTGTCCAAAGAGTGTTCGGATCTTTAAAAAATAGAACATGTTTTGAAGAGTGTCGGATACGTGTCAGGGAAGAATCCAACGAGTGTCGGTGTCTGACACGGACACGGACACGGACACGAGTTGCCTTTTTAGAAGTGTCAGTGCTTTTTAGCATGATATATAATAATTGCTTTTCCTTGTATATATAGTTTTATATTTTTCTCGTGTACTCTACGTGTTGTGTTCTATATTTTTTGAAAAACAACATACTTAACACTTAATCCTCTTGTGTTGGTGTGTGTGTCCTTGTCATGTTGGTGTTGTGACGGATGTTGCATCTTAGCTAATAACCGAAGGGCTTGTACAAACCTAAGTATGTAATGAACCACAATTTCTTCCATTACTTTGATATTTATTTCTTATTGTAAGTTGTAATTCTTATATTATTGAAATGATATTTTTATTTGAGCATTAAAAATAAAAATTGAGCACATGGTTGCTAGAATGTTACGATTTCACAAATCGATTAATTCAATCTAATATGAGTGTCAGCAAAAATGATTTGATTCATGCTATTGAATCTTTATTAGTGTATCACAAGATTCAATTGTGATTCTCTATAATTCACTACGATTCACTTTGTTTGCATAATACATGAAACGTCATTTCGCAAAATTAAAAACATTAATTTATTTATATTGATATTTGTAGTTTTATATGTATCTAATTAGTTATATTGATATTTATTCATTGTTATACGTATATACACGTACAAAATTATATTATGCTAAATAAAGTGAATTTTACGATTCACTAATCATGATTTATTATATACTTTTCAGCAAAATGATTCACGATTTGATTTGCAATTTGACGACAATCATTGAGCATGTCAGCTCCAATTTTGAATATGGATTTTTGTATGAAAAATTGAGTTCTCAGTCAAAGCTTGATTGCAACTTAAATATGATTTTGGAAAATCAGGACTCGAGAGCAAATTGAAAAGGAAGTCATGGTATAGCAGGGACCTACATCTGATACTTGATTTAGACATACTTCTGTCTGTCGAGACATAGATGGTTCTATGTAGTCCACTGGCAGTTAGGGCTTTAAATGAACTGAGCTGTTCAGGAACCGAGCTTGGCTCAGCTCAGCTCAGCTCAGCTCGGCTCGGCTTGCTTAGTAAACGAGCCGAGCTTTGAGCTTGAATATTAGGCTCGTTTAGTAAACGAGCTGAGCTTCAGCTCGTCAAGCTTGTCTCGTTTATTTTTATTTAAATATATATAAATAATTGTATAATACATTATTTATATATTAAATAATATAAATAATATTTTTTATTTAAATATTTTTATTTAAATAATATAAATAATATTAAAAAAAAATTATTGAGCGGAGCTCGAGTCTAGTTTCTTATCAAGCCGAGCTCGAGCTCAGTAAAACTCAGCTCGACCATGTTCATTTTTCTTAATTTTTTTTTTTTTTTTTTGATTGAGCAGTGCTCTATATCAACTAAGAAATAGTTTGGCCTAGGTTGTGTTGGGATCATGAATTTGGGTAGGGATTTGGAAAGGGAAAAAGGAAATTTAGATAAGAAGCATATTTTCCGAGCCTTGAATAAAGTTAATTGGAGCATAGAAACCGCTTTGGATTTAGGCTGGGTGATGAAGAGATCCAGTTATCTACCTAAAATGATGTTTCAGAGCTCTGCTAAAAGCTGAAAGGACTTCTTGTAATCTACTTCTCTCATCGAGGGGTGGGGGATGATGTCAATGGCTTACTTGCTCTTTCTGACAAGACTGTAGAAGTAGATTCATAACCCTAATGTGTTACTTTCGGTTAGCTTTGGATTACTGCCATGGATAGTTTAAATCAATGTTAAGATAAGCATCCACAAATCTGGTTGATGATTGTGGGAAGAAGTTGCAATTTTTTTTTTTTGCCAACAGTAATGATTACATAATTCTTTGTGAGGTTATGGTAATGAGATCTATAAGACACTTAAAAATGGTAAATCTGTAGCACCTAAGTAGACTCTGGTGGTCAAGTACCCTTTTGAATAGAAACAAAAATAAGTAAGTTGATTTAATTGAGTAAATATTGGATGTAACGGTGATACCACGTCGCTATATCACCATCCAATGAGCAATCTTGATTTGTAGTAGGGACCACAACATTGTTGTGTTAATGGGAGACAAGGGTTGTCTACTTTATCCCATTTGTGACTTTTTGTTGGCTGGTGACACCACATAGGATCGTGTCACTGTTACACTCAATATATTTTCCTTTGCAAGGATGTGTAGATCTCCATGCTTATTAGGCTTCCATAACCTTCTAGCTGTCCAAAATTTGAATGGAGAGTTAAATGCAAGTTATACACTCATTAGCCTCTGGAAGAAAGGGGCAAGGGGATGACAGCCTTTGTTTTTTTTGTGCCGTGTGAATGCAGTTCGTAAGATAAGAGTAGTTTTGTCCAATGTGAAAATTGATGTGATGCATACTTGTCTGCATTTATTGGTCGTGGTCAATGTTTGCTAAAGCTTGGTTAATGCTTGGCCCACAATTGTGAAGATTGATTAATCGTGTCCTAAGGAAGTAGTTATTGTGTATCAACTAACAAGAAATCAAGTAAGTAGATTTTATTTGGTCTTTTATGTGAAATAAGTAATTTTCTGCTGTGCAGGCTCAGGCTCCCAAGAAAAAGGTGAAGAAAACAAATATTCCGGTAACAGAGCATATTTGTGGAGGAATGGCTTCTGCTGATGTGCAAAAAGCAGTGGAGAAGGAGTTTGAAATGGCTTTGCAGGATCGAGTTATGGAAGAAACCAAAGATAAGAAGAATGCTGTGGAGGCCTATGTTTATGATATGAGAAACAAGGTACTATTATTATTATTATTATGTATTATTATGTCCTGCCATAAAACAGATTTCGACAAATTTGGATATTTTTAACTAACCAGTTTCTTTGTTGCTCTCCAGCTTCACGACAAATATCAAGAGTTTGTGACTGAATCAGAGAGGGAAGAGTTTATTGCTAAACTCCAGGTGGTGGAAGATTGGTTGTATGAAGATGGTGAGGATGAGACTAAAGGCGTTTACATTGCCAAGCTTGATGAGCTCAAGAAGGTTGGCTTTTCTTGTTGTGCATATTGATTTTCTTCAATTACTATATTTTTTATGGCTGACTTGGAATTCAAAATCTGCAGCAAGGCAATCCGATTGAGGAGCGCTACAAAGAGCACACTGAGAGGGGATCAGTGATTGATCAACTTGTTTATTGTATCAATAGTTACAGAGAAGCTGCCATTTCAAATGACTCTAAATTCGATCACATTGACTTAGCAGAGAAGCAGCAGGTGTGAGATCAACTCTCTGTCTCTCTCTCTTTGTATATGCAGTCATAAATTGATTGTAAATTGTAATTTTGTTTCTGGGTGTGGTAGGTTTTGAATGAATGTGGGCAAGCTGAAGCTTGGTTGACGGAGAAAAAGCAGCAGCAGGACTCGCTGCCCAAACATGCGACCCCAGTTCTCTTGTCAGCTGATGTGAGAAGGAAGACTGAAGCACTCAACAGGTACTGTCTTGTTGTTTGACATTGCTCGAATTGAATTGAATATTTCTTTGTTGTTTTATTTTCCGCATATTTGGTCTTTCCCAAATCTTCTTCAAGTTAAAAATGTGTTTGTGCTCGTCCCATGTAAAATATATGCTGGCCTTTATATTTTATCTCAGTTTTATTCGGCTATTTGATATAATTTTTGCGATTCTAATTGTGCCAATACTATTTGCTAGGAGTCTGTTGATATTCACTCAGTAGAATTTGTTTGAACAGGTTTTGCAGGCCAATAATGACGAAACCCAAGCCGGCCAAGCCAGCTAGTCCTGAAATGCCATCAGCAACTCCTCCCCCAGGAACTGAGCCACCGCCTCAGGGTGCTGACAGTGACCCCAACAGCAACCCTAACGAGAATGCTGGAGCTGCCAATTGCGAGGTGCCACCAGCTGCTTCGGAGCCAATGGAAACTGACAAGTCTGAGACAGCACCCAGTGCTGCAGCATAAATGCGTAGACCTGTTTGTCTTTAAGTGTTCAATCCAGGGTCAAAATTTGGTGGATTTGTTTTTTTAATGTCTTTTCCTCTTTGATGGGCCAATGGTTAAAAAAGGGTACGGGGTTTTTATTGGTGAGATTTGTTTAGTTTCTGTAAAGCCAGTCTTTACCAGGTTCTCAGATGGTTTATCAAATTATGTCATTAAATGGGATAGGTCTCTAGAATCCAGTTTTTCAAATGGGTTTGTAAGGGAAACAGTAAATTTGCCTTCTTTTTTTTGTGGTTTGTGTGAAAAAGAGACCAATTTCTACCCTTGCAGAGGGATTTTAAGTGTCATCTGTCTCCTTTCCTTATCAGGAGGATCTATTTTGGGTTTTGTCCACTGTTTTTGAGTTTTTCTTGGGTATAGAATTTTCAATTATTGTTTCCTTGTCTGTCTAAATTGTTCCTCTTACCTCCATTTTGGTTAAGTATTATTTGCAGCTTGAGATTTGTTCACACCTTTCAGCTCTGTCATGTCAGACAATATTATCAAAATTTTCAACACCAAGGGATGTCAAAGATGATGTTTGCGGTTAATTTAGGTATGCCATTTCAAATGCAATTGTTTGAAGCTATTTTGCAATGGGATCTTCCTTTATTATGTTTTCACTATTAAAGAAATTATCAGTCATTTCAGTCTTTCAACCAAATCTAAAGGCAAAATAGTCTCTCATTCCATGTAAAGAGGTTTATGACTACATTTTTTAGATTTTTGATGAAAGATGAAAAGACCACAGTTCAGATGTTCTCAATGGAACAAAAATAGTAGTCTCTGTTTTTTCTTAAGTCAACATTTCAACGTAAAAGAGTATTTGGGTTTGATAAGTTTATTTTAAAATTGATTTTGATGATTTAAGTTGTTTAATTTTTTGAACTTGTTGAATAGAATGTTTATATAAAAAATTAAAATGATTAGAAATGATAAGACATTGATAACTCTATGCTTGAATTAGATTTGTTTTTTAAAAAGAAATATACAATAAATATAATTTGAAAATAATCATCCATTTTTTGTAATAAAAATTTGATTTAAATATATAATTATCGATATTTGATTATTTTGATTTTTTGCATAAATATTTTATTTAATTAGCCTTAAAAAGTGAATAATTCAGATTATTAAAACGGGACTTGTCGTGGGTTTTACAAGTTTTTCAAAAAAAATTTCATATTAAGGGATTGTTTTGAATGATCTAAATAAGAATATTTTTTTGACATTTTACGAAAAAATATTCAGAAAAATAAAGAGATGCGACCCAAATAAGTACGCTTATCTAAATAAGGGTAATTATTTAATTTATGCCAAATTATAAGATATAAACGTGAGAGAAGTCTAATCTTAATATGGGTTTCTCTCGTGTGAAATATTTTATACTTCAACCTATCATTAAATTCGTACCCTCTTTTTAAGCAGATCAAAATAAAAATATTTTAATTTAAAAAATGTTAGAAATTTTAAAAAATTTATCAAATTTCTTACATGGGTCTTACGCCCATGTGAGATATTTGATAGAAAATTGGGTAAATTTCAAATACACTTTCTGAGATTTGATTAAAATATGAATCGCCCACTATGGTTTTGAAAATTACATTCCACCATCTGAGGTTTCTAATTTCATAACAAATCGCCCCTTTTATCAATAAATCATCAAGTCAATTAATAGTTTTTAATGATGTTAAAAATATGTTTCAATTAATAATTTAGGTAATTTTATTATTGTATAGGAGAGCAATTATGAATTTCATTTTTTTAATTAATTCTGTTAAATAACAAATTCCAATAAGGGGGTATTTGTAATTTTTTAAATCACAAGAGACAATCTGTATTTTAAACAAACTTCAGGAAGTGTATTTATAATTTATCCTAAAAATTTAATAAAACTTTTGGAATATCTAACATTTGATAAAAAAAAGAAAGAAAAGTAATCATTCTTTCTTTAATTAGTAATCAAAATTAAAACAAATATATTTATTTTTCTTTTTTAGTATCTTGTGTTGTTATTTCCCATAAAAGTATAACATCTTATATGATGGGATTTATTGATTATCAAAATTATTTTGATTCAAATTCGGAATATTGATTGATTTGGATCAAGCAAAGAAATAAAAATGTTTTGATCATGAATGTTATGGATTTTAAATAAAAATTATAATATTAGAAAAATTAAAAATTACAATGCAAAAACTGCTAAAAGGGCCCCAAATTAAATTTTTTTACATTGATCTGTTTGGAATTAGTTAAAAAAATAATTTTTTTTTGAATTTTTTTTATTATTATTTTAGGTTCATATCAAAAAAATTATTTTCAAGTTTGTCTAATCCTTTTTTTTTTTTTTTTGTTATCAAAAAGTAAGTGATTTAATATATTATATATTCGATAATAAGTCATCTAAAATACATTATAATGAGTTCAAAAGAAATAAAGAAAGTTTCAACATACTGATGATAATATTCTTATGCAAGGAGAAACAAACCTCCATGCAAAGAAGATATAAATCCTTCACGAAGGAAGAAAACCTTTATGAAGGGAGGCATATTATTTTTAACATAAAAAAAAATTATAACAAAAATTAAAATAATTACCCCCAAACATCTTTCACGATCCAACAATCGTTGCAATCGATAACGGTTGTGTCATAATTCTTACCTCCACATTACAAAATAAATCATTGTAGATTTGAAGTTGTTACTTGGTGATTTGAAGTTGTTACTTGTAAATAAATCATTATCGCATGGAGACGGAGATCAAGTCTATCTAGTCTGGAAGGATTTAAAAAGTTAATTTTTTTTGAAATTATTCAAAAAAAAAAAAAAATCAGTAAAGATATACACAAAAATATATTTTAGAGATTTTTATTTCTTTTACTTTTCAAGTTTTATCTAATCAAACATAATCTAAAATTGTAAAAATTTTAAATTTAAAAGAAAAATCCTTATTAAAAAAATAATTGCCGGGGCTGTATAAGAGTACCTTCAATACTACTCTTTATTTTTCACTAATTAAAGTATGAAAAAGATATACTTTTATTTGTTTACCAAAAAAAGATTTACTTTTATTTTACTTAACTAATTTTTTTATGTATGTATTCCAACATTACTCTTTATTTTATATATTTATTAACGCAAACTATTTTAAAAGCCTCCCAAACTGTCTAAATGTAACTTGCATAGAAGAATCTTACTAAAATAAATAAGGATAAATTAGAAATACATCCCTTGATATTTGTTTAAAATACGATTTATCACTTGTGATTCTGAAAATTACATTACACCTTCTGAAATTTCTAATTTTATAACAAATGATCTATTTTATTAATAAATGATCAAGTCAATTAACAGTTTTTAATGATATTAGAAATTTATTTCAATTAATAATTCAAGTAATTTTATCATTGTATATAAAAGAGTAATTAAAAGTTATATTTTTTTTCGTTAATTTTATTAAATAAAAAATTCTGATAAAAAACATTTGTAATTTTCTGAAGTATGTGGAGCGATCTATAGCCCAACAAAGTTGTTTTAAGAAGCCCATGCTCTAAGTATCAGTTTGAACTCCTCTCTCTTGGTTTGGTAGTGTTTTGTGAAAATTCATGCAAACTCTGTTTCTGTTTCTTTGGGCAGCAATTCTGTGAAGTCCCTAAATCATTCTTGTCTTTTATAGGTAACTTTGTTGTTCCCCTAAACTATTGTCACAAATTCATGACTCAATGATGAATGTTTTTAAGTGGGTTTGTTCAATGATGTATGCACGTTTGTTGTTCGACGAAATGCCTCACTGACTTGTTTCCATTAGACTGTGTTTGGTTGGGGGATTTGGGAAGAGAAATAAAAAAAAGTAGGTGAAATATGAATAAATATACCTATATTTCACCTTTTGCATTTCCTCAAAACCCAATTGATAGATACTCTTCAATTTAATTATGGGAATATTGTGACAACTTTTGCATTCTAAAGTTGTCAGCTGCTTGGATAATATGGATTTGGTGACTAGTCGGGAGCATAGATTTGGGTAGCTTCAAGATCAGTTTGGGACTAGAAATAAATTTTGAAAGTGGAGTAATTTGTGTATTTTTCTGAGTAAAAAAGTAAATTTTGCTTATTTGCATATAGTAATAAGAAAATTTTTAATTGTATATGCCAAATCCAGAATTTTTGTTTGCAAATTTGGGGATGGGGTTAGAGAGCTTTGCTAATATTCAAGAATCTTGTTGCAGTGGTTGGGGAGTGTCCTTGGAATTTTCTTTTATCCATCGGTGAGTTTTGGTATCCTTTCTTCAAGAAGTTCTGCTAAATATTTTTTGAAATTTTAACCAGCTTCCATCATATCAATCCCTGAGTGTTACATCACATTATGTTGGCTGATAATGAAATGAAATTAACTACATCAAGCATCTGTATGGTCTTCTATGCAATACCGTGAGAATTACAAAAACATTCTTCTAGCTGCATTGAAATCTATTTTGTAGGTTTCAGAAAAATGGTTGCAGGACCGATGGGTTCAAGGCGAGTAATATCAACATTGCCTCATCTATGTAACAGAATTAAACAGACAGGTAAGATTTTCATTATCTATTTTGGTTTGGTATACTGTTTTGAACAAATGCTGCATTTTCCAAACAGTCTTGACAAAATTTTTTTCTAGAGTCTGTTAAATCTCATTTAGTTCCATTTTTCATATTATTCTAGCAGAAAATGAAATTGTCCAAATGTTCCGCTTGTCAAGTCCAAAAGATGAAACACCAAGCTTGCCCACAAATCGAACACTGTCACGGAACAACCGCTCAGTAAGGACATTGGATGAGAGATTCATAAGGATTTTGAAGATATTTAAGTGGGGGCCTGATGCAGAAAAGGCTTTGGAGGTTCTCATGCTGAAAGTGGATCATCGATTAGTTCGTGAGGTTTTGAAAATAGATGTTGAGGTCAATGTTAAGATCCAGTTTTTCAGGTGGGCTGGGAAGAGAAGGAACTTTGAACATGACTCCACCACTTACATGTCTCTAATTCACTGTTTAGATGAAGCTGGACTGGTTGGAGAAATGTGGAAGACAATCCAGGAACTGTTTAGGAGTACATGCCTCATCTGTCCAGCTGATTTATCTGAAATTGTGAGAATTTTGGGCAAGGCTAAAATGGTGAACAAGGCACTCTCCATCTTCTACCAGATGAAAGGTCGCAAATGCAAACCAACTGCAAGCACTTACAACTCCATAATCTTGATGCTAATGCAGGAAGGTCATCATGAAAAAGTCCATGAGCTTTATAATGAGATGTGTAATGAAGGTAATTGTTTCCCTGACACAGTAACATACAGCGCGCTTATATCAACATTTGGGAAATTGGGTCGCGAGGATTCTGCTATTAGGTTGTTTGATGAAATGAGGGAGAATGGATTACATCCAACTGCAAAAATTTATACTACTTTAATAGGGATCTACTTCAAGTTGGGTATGGTTGAAAAAGCTTTAGGTTTGGTCCAGAAAATGAAAGAAAAGGGTTGTGCTCCAACTGTTTATACATATACAGAAGTAATAAAGGGACTTGGAAAAGCTCAGAGGGTCGAAGAGGCGTACAGTATCTTTATGAACATGCTCAAAGAGGGTTGTAAGCCAGATGTCGTGCTAATAAACAATGTAATAAACATTTTAGGCAGAGCAGGTCGTTTGGCTGATGCTATTAGGCATTTTGAAGATATGGAATCCTTGCATTGCACGCCCAATGTGGTGACATATAACACTGTTATTAAAGCTTTATTTGAATGCAAAGCTCCTGCATCCGAGGCTTCTTCATGGTTTGAAAGGATGAAGGCAAATGGTGTTACTCCTAGCTCTTTTACTTATTCAATTCTTATTGATGGGTTTTGCAAGACTAATAGGGTAGAGAAAGCTTTGTTGTTGCTTGAGGAGATGGATGAAAAGGGTTTTCCTCCCTGTCCAGCTGCCTATTGCAGCCTTATCAACACTCTTGGAAAAGCAAAGCGGTATGAAGCTGCAAATGAATTATTTCAAGAACTCAAGGAGAATTGTGGATCTTCAAGTGCTCGGGTATATGCAGTGATGATCAAGCACTTTGGGAAATGTGGGTGTCTCACCGAGGCTATAGATCTTTTCAATGAAATGAAAAAACTTGGGTGCAGTCCTGATGTCTATGCATATAATGCGCTTATGTCTGGGATGGTAAGGGCTGGAATGATAGACGAAGCTTACTCGTTGCTTCGAACCATGGAAGAAAATGGTTGTTTTCCAGATTTAAATTCACATAACATCATTCTAAATGGGTTGGCTAGGACGGGTGGTCCACAACGAGCAATGGAGATGTTTACAAAGATGAAGAATTTGAAAATAAAGCCAGACGCTGTTTCTTACAATACTGTCCTTGGCTGTCTCAGCCGTGCCGGCATGTTTGAGGATGCTGCAAAGCTGATGAAAGAGATGCATTTAAATGGTTTTGAATATGATCGTATAACATACTCATCAATACTCGAGGCGGTAGGTAAGATTGATGAAGTTCGTGCAGATACAATACCGTGAAAGAAAACCTGGTATGATATATTCGTTTTAATTTATTTAGTAAGACTCTTTTGCATTAGTTAGCTCTGGGTGGTCTGATAAGAATGTATTATTATTATTATCATTATTATTTTATAAGTAAATATTAAATCTGATAAGAATGCATTAGATTTGAAGTTATTGGATTTGCCTCATATAAAAGGGCGTAACGTATGCCACAGGGAACAAATATACGTCAATTTTGCTCCATGTTATCTAGTATTGTCCTGTAGTAGCTGTATAGTATTGTCCTGTAGTAGCTGTATAGTTTTGAAATGCGAGACAATTCAATCGAGTCATAATACTTTTGTCATATGATATCCTTATGTTGACCCCCCTCAGTTGAAGGTTTAACCAACATGATAGGTGCTTCAAATAATCAAACCATAGGCTATTGTTGTGAAATCATTCCATTGCCAAGAGAGGGAGAGGATCTTGCTTGAACATCTTGTTCAAGTGACATAATTTCCAACTATGGCAAATCGACTAAATTTTGCAATGACGAGTTTACCACAAATTCATACTGTATGCATTTCAAATATGTGGATGCCTTCTTGATTGGATGTTATAATAAAAATTCTATCCACGTTTTAAACTTTCATGATAAGTTGAGAGAGAGAGAGAGAGAGAGAGATTTGTGCATGGTGTGACTTCTCTTTTCTTTGCTAGATAACTATTGTGCATGAACATTTCAGGAAGGAAAATCTATTCATACATAAAATTCATATAAAAAACATTACAAGAATGATGTGGCAATGCAATTTTTGTAAATAATCTTTATGATTGCTTTGTTTTAAAGTCTACTTTGAGCCACATCGTTCTGTATGAAAATTCTATGTAAATTTTCTGTTTGTATATCATTACCATTTCAGAAATCTGATTACATTTTTGCTGTCAGGTTAATTTCGTTTTAACAGTTTCTTTTTTCATGCTTTTTTCAGGTATATATTCTTGGTGATACACTGATTAGGTAATTGACATAGTAGACACAAGAAAATGGTCCATACTCCAAGATGAGCATGTCATTTTGACTGCATAGAGAGAGCACAAACCTGCACCAGAATGCATCGGAGTACTGATGAGTGGTGAAATTTCAGGTGAAGATAGGCGGAAGAACGTTGAGGCTTGAGCCCTTAGTTCTCCATTATAAATGGCCAAAGGGCACAAAACTCTTTGCAACTGTCAAAAGTGTATTTGAATGCAGGTTGCGCAGAGGCTTCTACATTTTAAATTGCAAATGGGCAGAAGTTATGAAGAATTTCACAGGTCAAATTGTTGATAGACCAACTAGTTGTAAAACTACCAAAGGATGTTATGAGAATCATATATGTTATATATGATCAGGCACCGATTCTTTTCCCAAGTGAATTCAGAGTGAAGTATATGGCTACTGTCATTTACGAGATCTGTAGAATTTAAGTGAATACATAATTTTTATAGTGCATTTCTGCAAGGTAACTTGGCAGAATTATACGCTTGACTTTGTTTAATTTTTTTTTTTTTGGTTTTGTTTTGTTTAAGTTCTACATTGAGTGAAAACAATGCCCTGATGTGTTATTTCATGTAAAGAATGATGATTATGTTTTTCAGTCTTGGGATTTAGCTAGCAACTTTTGTATATCTGTCACTGAGATATATAAACTGTGTTTGTGGTGTGTCAATTAAAAATTATCAACATGGAATTTTATCAAAACATTATCTACTTGAACAAGAGTAGTTTCAATTTCCAACTAAGATAATCTCTAGTAATTTTACCATTTTAGTAATGTTGAAGACTTCTATTTTGACATTGTAAAAAGTAGTGCAAATGTAGTTTTTTTCATAGCACAATGCCAAATGAAAATGACATTTGTGAACCTGTGTGAGAGAGAGAGTCTTGTTAAATTTGTACCATTGTCAAATTCTGTATTAAATTTGACACAAGTTTTCGATATGTTATAATCTTTAAGAAGTTTTTCTGAAGTTTAAGTTTGACAAGTGTAACATCACGTCATTGTCATTGTTTTAGAGCTTTTGATAAACATCTACAGTATGTTCTTACATTATTATGGATTTTTTTTTAAATGGTTATTTTTTATTTCACTAAAACAAAATTCTGGACATCCACATTTTACCGAGTACTCTTACCATGATTGTGGAGAGATGCAAATTCTTTTTTCCATGCAGCTTCCATTCCTAATCTCTTTCCTCTCTGCCACAAAGTATAACATCAAAACAAGTCATCAGGAAACATGAAAACCCTACCCTTGTCATAACAAACCCTTGAAACTCTGCACCTTGAAATCGCGGCAATGTCCCTGAAATTCCTTGGACTGACCAACGAAAAAAGGGTTTCACCGAAAACAGGCCTAAAACCATCCACTTTAAATCCCCATCCATTGGTAAGGTGGAAGACTGGTTATTATCGGTTGCTTCTCTTTTGAATCATATTTCATTTCTCCATCTCTCTAGTTAGTATACAACAATAGGATTTACAAAGATGTTTCTTTCCCACAGGGAAAATCCATTAAAGTTTAGTTGCATGAAGAAGAAAGAGAGAGAAAACATACAAGCCAACAACACCTTCAACAAAATCGATTTTTTTTGTATAAATATAAAGGTGTTCTTAACTTATTTTATATCTGTTTAAATCTTATCTCTAACAATATCTATAACTTTCCTTCTATTTTCTTATTTCTTGAGTGAAGACATGCAGTAGATGTCCCATGATGTATGATTAACATATAACACAAGTCATCTTCTCCAAGGAAATTAAGGATTTTGCTCCCAACTACGAATTTTAGAACTAGCTTTTAGAGAAACAAGAATCATCCTACTTAATAGTTCATCAATTGATGGGAAGGAGTAAAGCAGCATAGAATGACTGAAGGAAAAAAGAAAAAATGAATATAAGAGAAGAAGATTAGACAAATGCACCTCACTGCACTACATAAGTTTATTCCTAATTGAAGGTTTAAGAAAGCAATTGATGGTTCCATATATTCTGCCTGATATCAGGCGTGCACATTCTGAGAAGTAGTGAAAAGAGCATATAGCTGAGAGGAACAATTGAAAGTAGGTCCAAAACACTGAATAAATTCTCATGCACCTCTAAGTATTCACCATCAGATAAGTATGATGCATAACTGACTATCAATCACACTATTACCTTCTGAATTTCCTCTTGAACAACGAATAAGCGGGTGGCAATGAAACACATTATCAGCAAAGCATAGATATCCTCATTATGTCGTGAAACAGAAAAAATTACTGATAAAAGTAGCACTGGCGTTATTAAAGGAATGCTAATGTAACAGAGAAGGCACTAATCTATGTAGTTTGATTATTACTTCAGCCATAATTAATGTTTTCAAATACATTCATCCTGGTGGTTTATTGCCTAGCAATTTAATAACCAAAAAGGAACACAATGCCTGATATACCGAACAACTACAGCAAGCAGCCCAATTCTAAATAACATTAAGAAAAAAAATCAGATGCAGATACATCACCCACTGATGTTCTCGGCAGAAAGATCATTCTCCTCATTGTCACCTTGCCTTATTTTTTCAATCTCAGCCTGGGTTCTCTCTAGAATCTGCCTTCTCTGTGATTCCAACTCCCTATGGAAATCCATCCTCATCTTTTCCAGTTCTAGCATCTGCTGTCTTTTACTGTTTTCAATCTTCTCATATATCTCGCTAAATTTATGAATAGAATCAGCAAGCAATCTGAACGAAGCTCCATCATCTCTCTCCTTGCCCATCCTTGTCCTCTTGGGTGGAAGTTCATCTGAATCCTCCTCCTCTGCAGATCCTGAATTTCCTGGGCTATCCCTCATTTCGTCCAATCCATTAGCACGATTCAAATAGACTTTAGGGTTCATGAAAACAAACTCCCCCGAATCCACCCCACATGAAAGGCCTGGTTGTTTGGGGGCAGGCGACATTAGCATGTCCATTTTTCTAAAATATACCCATTTGCTGGTTGTGTCTCTGCTCTCAGCCAACTTAATCTTCTCTTTCTTGTATTTTTTCTTCAACGTATCCAAACGATTTCGACACTGAGTGTCTGCCCTCTCAATTTTTGACTCCTGTGTTACCTTCTCTGCGACCTCTTGCCACTCGTCAGACCGAAGACTCTTTCTACCACGTTTAAGAAATCTGTCACCCCAAGCATCTAGCAGAACAAATGTCTCATGTTCAGTCCAATCAGCAAGTGGATTCCGCCCACCAAATGATGGCTTTGAGGTGGATGCAGTTGCCATTGGAGATGCAGCCACTCGAGGAGCAAATTCGTAACTTGATAGACTCTTCACCTTCCGCTTCTTTTGGTGCCTTTCTAAATCAACGTCTCCAATCCTCACACTATAACCATTTTGTTCATCTCCATCCTCATCCTCAGTCTCATCATCACCATCATCATCGTTGTCGTCATCATCAACATTTTCAACTTTGACCATTTGTCTATTAGCATTATCCTCATTATCATCATTTTCTTCTTCTTCTTCTTCTTCTTCTTCTTCATCAACCTCTTCTGCTTCATCAACCTCTTCATTATCATCATCATCATCATCAACGTTGACATATTGATTACCAACCTGACGAGGATAAGATGAACTCCGAATGGGAAGCTTTAGGCGTTGTGCCGACCCATAACCTTGAGTCACACCGTAAGGGATGGGTGGATATCTTGCATCATCGTCTGTGTCGCCCATTCAAGCACAATTCAATGTCAACAAAACCCAAGGAAAAGAAGCACACAACCCAAATATCTACTCACAAATCACCGATTTCTTCAAGTTCATGGACTCAAATACTGAAGCAAAATAACCTCCCAAAACCTGAGTTTTAGTTCAAAATCACCAATTTCACCTATTTAGTAGAACTAGGTCCCAGAAAAGAAAAGCAGTACCCATTAGCCTTACCCCAAAGAACACAAGAATATAATCCAAAAGAACCTAATTCCAACCCTTAAATGACCAATTTTTCTTCTTCAACATAATCAAATTCTAAGAAAAACAGCTCCCCTGCATCACACCTCAAGAACACACAAAAATTTGTTCCGAAACAATTAAACCAAGCTCTGAATCATCAAATTACTACTTAACAGCATCAAATCGAAACAAAAAAATAAAACCCATCAATCATAACTCACAACAAACACAAATTTCCCCAAAAAATACTCTATTTCTATACACAAAATGACCAAGTTTGCCTTTTTCTATGGAATCAAATGTCAAAAACAACAAAACCCATAATTCTTACCTCCTATAGCGAATCTTCCACAAAGTCTCGAAGAAATCAAACACCAAATAAGCAGATAACCCCCAATCAATAATTTTAAAAAAGCCAAGCCTAATTTGGACTTGTAGTTGAAATTGAAGAACAGAATGAGAAGAAATAGGTTGAATTGTCAAAAAAGAAACCCTAATTTCAGAGATGAAATTGACAATTTCTACAGGGTGCTGTCGGGGTTGGCAAGAGAAGAAGAATGCGGGAGGAGGTAAGTGGACAGTACGCAACTGGGGATAGATTAGAAAAAGTAGCTGACAGAAAGGATAGAATGCTAATGTGCGCCGAGTGTGCTGTGCCGAAAGTGATAGCTCTTTGGGGTCCCACTTGTTTTGACGGTCCAGATGTAGCTGATGTGTTCGATTAAATAGAACAGGGGTTTAACTGCAATAACCACCGCGCTAAAGGGCAAAATAGGGAGCTTTTCTAACAGCATTTTCCATAGCAATTGCTATAAGATTTATGCTTCATACCCCCAGTGAGGTGTCGGCCCCGGATTGGTGTAAAAAAAAAATTGTTTTTTTTTTTTTTTTTTTAAAGTTTTTAGCCAGTGGGGGCGCGCCACGTCACTGGGGGCGCGACCCCCACTGGGTGTATGTAGCGCTGTTGTTGCTATAATACCATTATTATTGTTACAATTTGGTAATGAATAATAATAATTTATCAAATTATAACAATGGTACTTCAATGACATGATATTTTAACAAATTTCAACCAACTTTCATTTTAAGTTTGTAGGTATTGTTTGGATATAGATTTTTTAGTAATTTGTTTTTGTTTATTTTTTTGTCTTTTGTGACCTTTTTTTTATTTGTTTGTTAAAAAAAAATTATATATTTATATTATACCCGACTATACAAACATAAAAAATGAAAAAGAAATTGAAAATTTGAAAAAATAAATTTAAATACTCAAAATTACATTGAAACATAAAAATGACATTGCAAATAAAGACTAAAAATTACATTAAAAATAAATGGCATTGCAAAATTAAAAAATACATTCTCCCTTAATTATTCATCAAGAGGCAGGGAAAAATAATAATTTGGGTTGCTGACATTTGCGAACCACTTGACAAAAATCTCATTTTTTTCGCATTATGCAATACCCTTTCGTCTAATGGTCCAAATGATAAATGTCTATAGTCATTGTTAAATGTTCTTCCTTTTTTATCTCAAGTTCTTTCATCTCCTGTAGTGCTTGAATCCTTTTTTTTTCTTTTTTTTCAGTTTTTTTTTTCTTTTTCTTCTCAATAAGGTATTGATTAAATGTCTCCAATTGTATACTTATTTTTTGGACTTCTGCTTTAACGACTTGATTTTTCCAAGATAATTCTTTTGTAGCTTTCCTACCCATAAGCTTTTTACCCTTTGCAGAGACACTACACTCACCGATTCAATTATTACCAACACTTAGACTGTTGTTGTTTTCAGGAGAAATGTAGTTATCCATAGGGGAATTGGGGGCTGAATTAGAAAAAAATGGTGTATGTATCCTTGACTTCACCGTGGTCGTAGGAGTTACATCTTGCCACTTGATATTGTCCTGTAGTGCTTGAATCCTTTTTTTTCTTTTTTTTTAGTTTTTTTTTCTTTTTCTTCTCAATAAGGTATTGATTAAATGTCTCCAATTGTATACTTATTTTTTGGACTTCTGCTTTAACGACTTGATTTTTCCAAGATAATTCTTTTGTAGCTTTCCTACCCATAAGCTTTTTACCCTTTGCAGAGACACTACACTCACCGATTCGATTATTACCAACAATTGGATTATTACCAACACTTAGACTGTTGTTATTTTTAGGAGAAATGCAGTTATCCATAGGGGATTTGGAGGCTGAATTAGGGGAAAATGGTGTATGTATCCTTGACTTCACCGTGGTCGTAGGAGTTACATCTTGCCACTTGATATTGTTTTGTAAGACTGGCCAACAATGTTTAAAAGCAAAATGTTTGTTTTCATCTTGATGGTACAACAGTTTTGCTTGAAGCATCTATATCAATAAAATATTAGATTAATTAATTAGTTAATTTTTATATAAGACAAATTAAAAAAAAAAACTTAATAAATGAAGATGAAATCTTACTATATCAACTTGAGACATCCTATTTGGGCGTAGATTTTCGATTTGCACTAAACACTTGCGAAATTTGTTGCAACATTTCATGATTACACCCTATCAAGATGAGATAGATACTTGTATTCATGAGTGATCATTCTGCTGCGAGCAATAATTTTCAAAAATTCTTCCCAAAAAATAAGCATGAGATTGCGAATTCCCAACAATTGGGTCTTCAGTAATGTGACACCAAGCTCTACAAATTGTCATATCTTTTTGAGTAGTGAATAATTTTCCTCTCTTTGTTTTTGATGAACCTTCCATAGTGATTGTAGGAAAAAACTAAAAACAAAATAATTTTGAAAGTTTGTTGTCAAATGAAATTGAGATAAAAAAAGGAGAAAAGAAAAATGAAATTTGAAATATTTTCTATGAAATGAAATTGAGATTGAGGTTTCTATTTACAGAAATACAAAATATAACCGTTCGAAAAAAATAGAAGATTATCGTTAATTTATAGGTGTTGTTTGTTTGTTTTTGGATTTTTTTAAGCAAAAAAAGCATAACGGCTCTTTTGCCTTTGCAAGACAGATCACCACCGTCCATGCAATTCCATTTCCAACGGTTGAGATGAAGATCCAGAATCATCCAACCCCTTTTCTTTTCGTCTCAGTCTCCCTTTCCCTCTTACTCTCACTTTGACTCTAATTCTGACTCTATTTGTTTTCTCTCTCTCTTCAACCGACTACGAAGCATGTCTCCTCTCCCTCACTCTCACTCCTATCTCTCTCTCTCTCACACACTTCTAGAATGGAAGAGACGATCGCCAGATCTATCTCTCCCTTACTATCACTTTATCTCTCCTTGGTTTTTGTTCTACCTCTCTTTCACTGTCACTCTCTCTCTCTCTCTCTCTCTCTCTCTCTCTCTCTCTCTCTCTCTCTTCGATCGGCGAAGATACAAGATCAAAGAGACGATCAGCGGCCGTCTACCCCCCACCCCTATGTCTCTCTCACTCCTTTCTATCTCTCTCTTTTTCTACTCCTAGAATGGAAGAGATGATCACCAGATCTATCTCTCCCTTACTGTCACTCTATCTCTCATTGGTCTCTATTCTACCTCTCTCACTGTCACTCTCTCTCTCTTTGATCGGCGATGGTACAAGATCGAATAGACGATCGGCAACCGTCTATCCCCCACCACCCAAGAGATGCTCAGCGACCAGGTATTTTTTATTTTCAATTTTTTCATATTCTGAGATTTTGAGATTTGAACTTATGAAATTGCTTGTTGAGCTCCAATGAAATTGTTGAATTTGTTTTGTTGAATCTAGCATTTGTTGAATTTGTTTGAGTTTTTGTTGAGATTTATTGATTGTTGTTGATTGATTGTGTAAATTATTTTTTTTTTTGGTAAATTAAAAAAAATTATTGATTTTTTTTTTTGTGGTGAATTTTGAAAAATAAAAATGGTGAAATAGTTGCTGGGAGAGAGGGAGGGAGAAAATAAGGGAAACAGTTGGTTTTGGCTGAGTTGGCACAAATGGCAGCTGCCAAAATTTGTGTCAAATTTGACACAAGCTTTGGCATTTCTCAAATTTGGCAGCAGCTATATTCAACCATTGGAGTATCATTTTTCAACACAGCTGCTATATTATAGCGATGGCAGCTTCAATGGCAAACCATTGGAGACGCTCTAAGAACATCTTTCCACACACACTTTCTTTCTACACTTACCTCATAATTTTAATTTAATTTTTTTTAATTACATCCATCTTAATCCTAAAATTAATCCCTATCCATAACCTTTTCAATATTTACAAATCCCTCTTCATCTACGAGTTGCGGAAATGTCATTATTCGTTGCCCCTATATTCTTTCTCTTGCTACTCCATAACCCCCTTATCTCATTCCTTATTGAATGCCTTCATTCCTCATTACTTTTTCATTCCCTTCTCTTTCTTTCTTTCCTCTCATTTATTTGGTAAAGGTTTCAAAATGTTAGGGAAGAAAAGAACCAAAATGTTAGAGATCCCAAAAGATTTACTAAAATTTCTGTCAAATGTTTCACATGGGTGTGGGTCTCATGCAGGTCCCACATCTATTTGAGACATTTGGTAGAAATTTTGATAAATCTTTTAGGATCTTTAGCATTACTTAGAAAAGAAAGAGAGAAGGGGAAAGAAAAATAGAGGATATCAGGGGAGTTGTGGTAGTGGTAGAATGGACATGGTGAGAATGTAAGGGAGATTGGTGGTGGTGAGATTTAAAAAACAAATAAATTATTGTAAATTGTGTTCTTAATATGAATGAGAACTTACGTGTAGGTCCTAATAGGTGAACTTATTGTTCAATAGGTCTTATGATAATTAATGGCATTTTTCATCAAAATATTATTTAAAAAGTCACAAATTGTTAATTTTCAACAACAGTTTGAAATTTGTCACAAAAATGTCACTAATTACAAGTTTTAGCAATAGTTTAAAAAAATCATCACAAAAAAGGTTATTAATTTTCAACTTTTAGCGACAGTTTGAAAAATTGGTCACAGAAAAACGTCACTAATTATAAGTTTTTGCAACAATTTATAAAAATCGTGACAAAAAAGTCACTAATTGTCATTTTTAGAGACATATACAAGCAATCGTCACAAAAAATTATTTTAGTAACGATTTGTGCTAAGAGTTATTTTCAATAAGACTTGACGAGAATTAAATCTAATTATTAAGACTTATTGGTAGTTTAGCTTAATATGAATTATGTTTGAAGGTAAAATTGTTATATATATTTTTCTGTATGCGTTGAAGAGAAAGTGTGTACGTTTAGAAGCACATGGGCCTGATGGATTTATTGCGGGGTTTTACCAAGAATATTGGAAGGTTGTTGGGCCGTTTGTTATGGAGGCAGTGCTAGCGTTCCTTAATTCTTGTTTCTTGCTTAAGAAATTTAATAAAACTTTTATTTGTTTGATTCCAAAGAATAGGAAACCTGTTGGGCCGTCTGTTATGGAGGCAGTGCTAGCGTTCCTTAATTCTTGTTTCTTGCTTAAGGAATTTAATAAAACTTTTATTTGTTTGATTCCAAAGAATAGGAAGCCGGTGACAGTGCATGATTGTAAAAACAATTAGTCTTTGTAATGTGATTTATAAAATTGGGTCTAAGGTCT